AGCCCTCCTTTTTCTCTAATTTTTGGTCCACAAACTTAGGTTGTTAACCCTCCAGAAGAGACATTTATTGTTATTACCATACAACCTAGGCTGTTGAGCTAAACCTCACTGTCTGAATATCAAACATCTTTTTTTTCTTTTTTTTTTTTTCTTTTTTTTTGCGGAACCAGGGATAGAACTCAGGCCCTTGCACTTGCCAGGGAAGCACTTATTCCACTGAGCCATCTCCCCGGCCCCTAATATCAAACATCTTAAGGTGCCTATTTTTTGGATTGGGTCTATAAATTTGTTTTTTTTTTTTTGTTTGTTTGTTTGTTTTTTTGTGGAACCGAGGATTGAACTCAGGCTCTTGCGCTTGCCAGGCAAGCACTTATTGTACTGAGCTATCTCCTCGGGCCCTTGGTTGTTTTTTTTGTTTTGTTTTGTTTTGTTTTTAATTTTCTCCTGCTGGAGTAGTGAAATTTCAAGTCAGGAATTTGATAGCCCCTGCCTTCCTTTTGTAGCCAAGAATTACTTTTGCTAGGTCTCTTCTGGTTCCAAATGAATTTTAGGATTGTTTTTCCCAGTTTTATTAGGTATGTTATTGACATTTTAATCAGGATTGCATAGAATCTGTGTAACAGTTTTGGAAATATCATTTTCAACTCATACTTGTTCTGCCTATCCAAGAAAAAGGGTTATCTTCCATTTTTCTAATATCCTCCTTGATCTCCTTTTTCTTTCTTTTTTTTTTTTTTTTTTTTTTTGGTGGAACCGGGGCTTGAACTCAGGCCCTTGTACATACTAGGCAAGTACTTATTCTACTGAGCCGTCTCCCCTGCCTGCTCCTTTTTCACATAATTGTAATTTTTTTTTTCTTTTTTTGTGGAACCGGAACTGGGGATTGAACTCCGGCTCCTGCACTTGCAAAGGAAGCGCTTATTCTACTGAGCCATCTCCCCAGCCCCTTGGACTATGGTATTTTTATGACCACCAGACAATCTCAATATTGGTATATAAGGAAGAACAGCTGATTACAAGTATGTCACTGGCTAACGTAATATAGGCAGTAATAACAGCAGCATCAAGTACAATCTAGAAAATGGCAAACTTAATTGTTATATCGCTGCCTTTAACCATAGGAACAATATAGGTATATGTCAAAATCTAAAGAATAGGAAAATGGGCCGGGGGGATGACTCAGTAGAATAAAG